TTCCATGGTGAACTGGATGTTTGGGTGGATGCTGTTAAGATGGTCCAGGAACCTGTTGAGTCCTTCTTCTCCGTGGCTCCAAATGGTGAAAATGTCATCCACATATCTGAACCATATCAGTTCAAATACTGGTCCTCTTAAGAGCAGCATGCAACTTTGTAGAGGGAATCCTGGTTTTTCAGTTTTAGGTCTGGAAGTGCATCAGGGTCTCAGTGGTGTAAACCAGCTTGGCACAGATACATTATTAGTTAGAGGCAACGAAGGAGCACTGGGGTGATTCAGAGTGCTGCATCATGCCAAGCGGTACAGATTGCATTGCTGAAAGATTTGCATGCTGAGTGAAAATTACCCAAAGACATGACTCATTTGCAAAACAGGGAATGGAGTGTCGTGTTGTTTTAGAAAGCATGCCTCCTAACCCCCCGGGCATGGTGTTTTTTTCCAGCTGTGTACAGATGTATACAGTCTCTAGATGTCTCACAGTTTCTGGTTTCGTAGAAGTGGCTCTTTAGGTCCGTCTGTCTGGAATCGGCATGAGTGAACGAATGTCTTGTTCACAGAAACCATCCCCACAGTGATCAGACGATATCCACAGGCTGTCTCCCTCTCACTTTTAATAGCAGACTCTTGTGGTGACCCCCACGTGGCAGGTTCTTTTAAAAATGTTTGGCCGTTTGGCTGCCATCAACAATGGGGCCATTGATATTGGCATACGCAGTTTGTTTTCTCACTTTTGTCTCAAGAGGGTAAGGAATAGGGTTGCCTGCTCTCGGGGCCAGGCCCCAAGTCTCCAGTTTTCACGGATCATCTCCTGGCTGGAGACAAGAGGAATGTTCTCCTGCTTTGGTGGCCTCATCTCTATGCTATTTATTTATTTATCATGTCAGGAGCAAACCGAACAGTTGTGTTGCATTTTTTAACAAACAAAACAAACAAACAAACAAACAAAACGTAAAGTTTGCAAGCTTGGTGGTTAATTAAATGTCCTTTGAGCAGTATGTGGCCACTTGGAGTGCTTCTGGTGTTGCTGTGGCAGGACTCAGGTGGCATTGCGGAAGGTGGTCAGTGGTTTGCTCTTCTCCACACTCGCATATCGAGGATTCCACTTTGTAGCCCCATTTCTTAAGGTTGGCTCTGCATCTTGTGGTGCCAGAGCGAAGTCTGTTCAGCGCCTTCCAAGTCGCCCAGTCCTCTGTGTGCCCAGGGGGGAGTCTCTCATTTGGTATCAGCCATGGCTTGAGGTTCCGGGTTTTTACCTGCCACTTTTGGACTCTCGCTTGCTGAGGTGTTCTTGTGAATGTCTCTGTAGATCTTAGAAAACTATTTCTTGATTTAAGGCGTTGACGTGCTGGCTGATACCCAAACAAGGGATGGGCTGGAGATGTCTCTACCTTGGTCCTTTCACTATTGGCTGCTAATTCCCGGCAGATGTCAGGTGGTGCAATACCGGTTAGACAGTGTAGTTTCTCCAATGGTATAGGGCACAGACACCACATGATGATGCGGCATGTCTCATTAAGAGCCACATCTACTGTTTTAGCATGGTGAGATGTGTTCCACACTGGGCATGCGTACTCAGCAGCAGAGTAGCATAGCGCAAGGGCAGATGTCTTCACTGTGTCTGGTTGTGATCTCTATGGGAAAGGAAGGAACTGTGCGAATCTCTGCTTTGCAAGAGGAACAATGGCTTGTTGTGATTTGCAAGGATGCATTGATTTATTGTTGCAACCTGAAAAGGCTCTTCCTCTTCCTTTCTTCCCAGTCATTGTAGTGCCAGGGATCACCCTCCGCTCTACATCCACTTTCTGGAGATTTATACACTACTAGCCATCCCCTGCCACGTGTTGCTGTGGCCAAGTCTAGTGATCTGGAAAATAAAGTAATGAGAAAGTATTGGTTTCTAATATATGTAATTTCTTCATGCTTGTGGGTACTAAACAGTATTTCTTGTTGGTTCTTTGTCAGTGTTGATGTTTCTTTAAAATATGAATCAAATCAAATTTTAAAATTTTTGATTTTCAGGTTCAGGTCCAGGACCAGGTGGTCCGGATGGCTTTTGTCCGTTTCATGGCAGGAAGTACAAAGCAGGGGAGAGCTGGCACCCGTACCTGGAGCCCCAAGGGGTGATGTACTGCCTCCGATGCACCTGCTCCCAGGTATCTTGCAAGAGTTTACTTGGACTGTTTGGTGGATGAAGGTCTAATGTTGGGAGGGAGAACTTGGGGGCGGGAGGTTCATTGTCCTACCAGGAGAATTTGGAAAGACAACGTCTTGATAGAATCCCCTTTACCCTCTTTCCATGCATGGAGGCATTTCCCCTGTTTTGGTCCTAAAATGGCCCAGTGGAACTTTAAAGTCACTTCCTGACTAAAAATGTGTATTTTTTGTACCAAAATTGCAAAATATGCTCCCATGCTTCAGAGAAGGCATATGGTGCAGATTTGGGCAACTTAAGGATATATATGTTTATATCTTCAAAAACTGAATTTTCTCTTTCTGGGAACCACAAATCAACTTCGGACTATATGTGTTCCCCTTCCTTCTTGGTGGCCAGTGTTTTCAGATCTACGCCAGTGCAAAAGCTGAGGTCCAAAGAAGGACAAGAGTACTCAAGAACATCTGGTGGACAAAGAAGGCTGAAGAAATCCAACACCTGGCAGATACCCATGATGTTCAGGGATTTCTCAAAGCCACAAAGGTCATCTATGGACCAAGAAACCATGGCATACAGCCTCTACACTCATCAGATGGAACCAAACTTCTGAAAGACAAAAAATCAATTGTACTATGTTGCAAAGAACACTACCAAAGCCTCCTGAACCGCAGCTCCAATGTGGCCGAAGAGGTTCTCTCACAAATCCCGCAACAACAAACCAGGGATGAGCTTGCAGCACTGCCTAATTTGGAGGAAGTCAGCAATGCCATCAGCCAACAAAAAAATAGCAAAGCCAGCGGACCTGATGGGATCCCTGATGAAATCTTTAAAGAGAGAGGACCTGAACTGACACAACAATTCCACCAGCTCATAGAAAAAGTGTGGGTGACAGAGAAAATCCCAGAAGATTTCAAGGATGCCGTCATCATCACCCTCTTCAGACATCATAGAATACATGATAACGGTTAGGGTGTGAGGATGGCTACAAGTCATTCATACCCTCTATGCTTCCTAATTTATCTGGAACAGTCTTGGTTAATCCTCTGTCATCCCACTTTTGAAACATTCCTGTTTCTCTGTCCTCCTTCCACGTTCACCTTTTCTCCTGAACTTCCTTCCTTATTTTTGGGACCCCTGATCCATAGATTCATACAGAGACACACTATAAGAACTTCCAAGTCTTCCAGTATGATCCAGTAAAAACTGACCATAGAGTTATACTGGTGAAACTAGGCATTCCTACAGAGGTGTTTTCTTAGATTAAAAAAACCCAATAATTTTATTATTTGCCATTTTCCCCTTTTGGGAAGGTTCTGTGTCCCTAACCCAGCAAATGTGTGGGGCTGATCATACAAGTTTGAGCCTGATGTCATCTGGAAATTAATTTTCCCAGTGACTAACCTAGGCTAATCCTTTGTTTTTGGGCAGGACACCAGTGTGAGCTGCTACCAGATCCAGTGCCCAGCTCTTCAGTGTCAAAACCCCATCAGAGACCCTCGCCATTGTTGCCCAAAATGCCCAGGTAAGGGGATGTTCACTTTCCCATATCTAATGACATCTCTCGAGTTGATATCGCCCAGAATAGGGGCCACCTCTATGCACCTCTTCCCATACCAGGACATCTTGCAATAGTGTAGATGAAATAACAAAAATCCAACAAAGCCATCAACAACAAGAAATCAGCATCAGTTCAAGTAACAGTGTGTGCTTGGCTTGTAAGGTGTGCAGGGGAAACTATGTGACTCAGGGTATCATCATGACACCTGACTTACACTGATTGACAGTTGTGAATGCACATGTGCATTAAAAGATTCAAAAAAGTATATGACCATAGAATTTCAGCCTTTTAATATATATAGATATAGTATGTGTAAACCAGTCTTTCATATATATAGCACGCAAGTACATTTCTTATTGGGTGAGAGTTTAAACCAGGGGTCTTCAAACTTTTTAATCAGAGGGTCAGGTCAGAGTCCCTCAAACTATTGGAGAGCCAGATTATGGGTTGTTGTAGGTTTTTTCGGGCTGTATGGCCATGGTCTAGAGCAGTGGTTCTCCACCTTCCTAATGCTGCAACCCCTTAATACAGTCCCTCATGTGGTGGTGACCCCCAACCATAATATTGTTTTCGTTGCTACTTCATAACAGTCATTTTACTACTGTTATAAATCATAATGTAAATATCTGATATGCAGGATGCATTTTCATTCACTGGACCAAACTGGGCACAAATACCCAATACACCCAAATGTGAATGCTAGTGGGATTGGGGGAGGACTGATTTTGTAATTTGGGTGTTGTAGTTGCTGGGATTTATAGTTCACTTCTAATCAAAGAGCATTCTGAACTCCACCAGCGATGGATTTGAACCAAACTTGGCTCCCATGACCAATGGAAAACACTGGAAGGGTTTGATGGGCATTGACCTTGAGTTTGGGAGTTGTAGTTCACCTATATCCAGGGAGCACTGTGTACTCATGCAATGGTGGATCTGGACCAAACCTGGCACAAATACTCAATATGGCCAAATATGAACACTGGTGGAGTCTGGGGAAAATAGATCTTGACATTTGGGAGTTGTCGTTGCTGGGATTTATAGTTCATTACAATCCAAGAACATTCTGAACTCCACCAACAATATAATTGGCTCAAACTTCCCACACAGAATCCCCATGACCATCAGAAAATACTGTGTTTTCTGGTGGTCTTTGGTGACCCCTCTGACACCCCCTTGCGACCCCCTCGGGGGACCCGACCCCCAGGTTGAGAAACACTGTTCTAGAGGCATTCTCTCCTGATGTTTCACCTGCATCTATGGCAAGCATCCTCAGAGGTTGTGAGGTCAGATTATGATTTGAAAAGAAATATATGAGTGAATTCCTACGCACACTGCACATATCTTATTTGTAGTGCAAAAAAAAAAAACCCACTTTAAAACAATACAATAATTAAAATGAAGAACAATTTTAATACATATAAACTTATTAGTATTTCAATGGGAAATGTGGGCCTGCTTTTGGCTAGGATTGTTGTTGTTGTATAGGATTGTTGTTGTTGTGTGCTTTCAAGCCATTTCAGACTTAGGTTGACTCTGAGCGAGGGCCGGGTAAATGACCTTCGAGGGCTGTATCTGGCCCCCAGGCCTTAGTTTGAGGATCCCTGGTTTAAACAGCAAGTTCCCTAAAGCATTCTGTTTTAGTCTCTTCTTTTTGCAGATAGACTAACCCTCTCTTCAGTCTAATACATTACTGAACACTGACGCAATACAGACTGACTACACACTGAGCATATTTATTTATTCATTCAAAACGTTTATACCTCCGCAGAGGGACTCAGACCGGCTGACAGCAAAGCTTCAATGCTAACACTAAAATCTAAAATATCATACACCAACATTTAAATTAACCAATACATATAGGATAAATTACATAACAGCCGTTCGCCAAGATAAAATCATGTCCAACTCAGTCCGTATATTCAGTCCATATATTGTGGTCAATTGCCGGTCTCAGACATCATTCCGCAAAAGCTTCGTTCCACAGCCAAGTTTTCACTAGCTTCCTAAAGGTCAGGAGGGAGGGGGCAGATCTAATTTCATTCAGGAGGGACTTCCATAGCCAAGGAGCCACCACAGAAAAGACCCTGTCTCTCATTCCCACCAGACGCACCTGCGAAGGTGGCGGGACTGAGAGCAAGGCCTCTCCTGACGATCTTGATACTCTTGATGGTTCATAGGGGAGAATACGTTCGGACAGGTAAACTGGGCCAGAACCATATAGGGTTTTGTAGGTTAAAACCAGCACTTTGAATTGTGCTTGGAAGCTAATTGGCAGCCAGTGGAGCTGGCGCAACAGAGGAGTTGTATGCTCCCTGTACCCCGCTCCCGTTAGTAGCCTGGCTGGCGAGCGTTGGACTAATTGCAGCTTCCGGGCAGTCTTCAAAGGCAACCCCACGTAGAGAGCGTTGCAGTAATCTATACGGGATGTAACCAGAGTGTGGACCACCGTGGCCAAGTCAGACTTCCCAAGGTATGGGCGCAGCTGGCGCACAAGTTTTAACTGCAAAAGCTTTCCCGGTCACCGCCGAGACCTGGGGTTCCAGGCTCAGCAATGAGTCCAGGATCACTCCCAAGCTGTGAACCTGCACAGCTTGGGACACAACTGACATCTAAACTGTACTGTACTGTACTGCTTCTGATGCAAGGCTGATTTCTAAACTGGAGTCTCAGTCTGAATAGTCACCGATCTGGTCACATGGTCTGCAGCCCCTACCACAACCTCAGGCAACATAGAGTTAAGGGAAAACTGCATATCAAAATATACATGGAGTATAGTAAGCAATTATATACATAACAAATAACTAGTATATGAGGCTTGTAGAAGGTTGCTATTTCCAATAATAACTACTTTAGCCTGGCATTCTTTTTCTGCTACAGAGGTTCAGGTGCCCTCCGGATTCCAGCTGCCTGTCAATTCCTCCTGCCGGTACAATGGCACAACATACCGACATGGCGAGATTTTCACCAACAGCGAACTCTTCCCTTCCAGGCTACCAAACCAGTGCACCCAGTGCAGCTGCTCGGTAAGTACACAAACAGCCAGGGATTCTCCTATGCCAGGCATGGGCAAACTTTGGCCCTCTTCCAGGTGTTTTGGACTTTAACTCCCACAATTCCTAACAGCATCCTTTCCCTAAGCACAAAGCCAAGGACCAGACTTCTGTTTTCCATACAGCAGAACCTGACTCCCTGCACAAAATCCAAGACTCCAAAAGCGCACTTCTTCCTCTTCCCTTGAGAAAGAAGCCCCAAAGTGACCAGACTGCTCCCTTGCAACTCTGCCACTTTCCAAATACACAATCTCTCTCTTTCCCATGGAGCAGAGCATGGCGGGTGAACCAGACTTCTCAGGTCTGCCATATATATGTATGTGTGTGTATACCTCTTCACACATACATACACAAGCATACACACAGACACATACATACATTTTGTTTTTGTTTTTAATTGTTTTATTGGTTTTTCCCCCACTCCCACCCTCCCCTCCTTGTATATGCAATTTATACATCACACTACAGAAGTTACATTTGAAATATCAGTCTCAGTCTTAATTTTTCCACTCCACATCTTAGCACATTTTCTAAATAATTCCTAACTGGTTCCCACATCCTTTTAGTTATTGTGACCTTTTCAATTTTATCTATATTATTCCCAAAAATGTGTTATTTCCACATTTAACATATTAACTATATAGTTATACCAATTAGTCAGTGTCCATTTTGTTTTATCCTTTCAACCCTTCACAAAAACAAGCTGTGCACACGCTATTAATTTGTCAACCAATTTTCCTTTTGTATATTCTTCACTCCTGTTATCCGTGCATGTAGTACATTTCTATTAACCACTAGCCGTCCCCTGCCACACGTTGCTGTGGCCCACATGGGGGTTCTGTGTGGGGGGTTTGGCCCAATTCTATCGTTGGTGGGATTCAGAATGATCTTTGATTGTAGGTAAACTATAAATCCCAGCAACTACAACTCCCGAATGTCAAGATTCTATTTTTCCCAAACTCTATCAGTGTTCACATTTGGGCATATTGAGTATTCGTGTAGAGTTTGGTTCAGATCCATCATTGTTTGAGTCCACAGTGATCTCTGGATGTAGGTGAACTACAACTCCCCGCTTATGGAATTCGCTCCCCAGCGAGATTAGATCGGCGTCCTCCCTCCTTACTTTTAGGAAAAAACTAAAGATGTGGTTTTGGAGCCAGGCCTTTGGCTAGTGGGCACAACAGCACTTTAGGCACTGAACTCGGACAATAGGATTGTTTGAAAATTGGAAATGGCTTTATGACCTGTGATTCTGTGATCTGTTCTATGTGGTTATGTAATTTTAATTAATATCACTGCTTAATTGTTATGTAATGGATTTTATATTGCTGTTTTATATTGTTGTTTTGATACTGTTGGCATTGAATAGTTGCCTGTGTTAGCCGCCCTGAGTCCCCCCTTGGAGGTGAGAAGAGCGGGGTAGAAATGGTCTAAATAAATAAAATAAATAAACTCCAAAACCAAAGGACACTGCCCACCAAACCCTTCCAGTATTTTCTATTGGTGATGGAAGTGCCAAGTTTGGTTCAATTCCATCGTTGGTGGGGTTCAGAATGCTCTTTGATTATAGGTGAACTATAAATCCCAGCAACTACAACTCCCAATTGCAAGGTCTATTTGGCACAGTGGGTTTAAGCACTGAGCTGCTGAGCTTGTTGATCGAAAGGTCGCAGGTTCGATTCCGGGGAGCGGCGTGAGCTTCCGCTGTCAGCCCTAGCTTCTGCCAACCTAGCAGTTCGAAAACATGCAAATGTGAGTAGATCAATAGGTACCGCTCCGGCGGGAAGGTAACGGCGCTCCATGCAGTCATGCCGGCCACTTGACCTTGGAGGTGTCTACGGACAACGCTGGCTCTTCGGCTTAGAAATGGAGATGAGCACCACACCCCAGAGTCAGACATGACTGGACTTAATGTCAGGGGACTACCTTTTATAAATCCCAACAACTACAACTCCCAAAACACAAAATTAATTTTTTTTTGAGTAATGGTCACTCCTTGGATTAGTAGGTGTCTTGTGTCCAAATTTGGTGTCAATTCGTCCAGTGGTTTTTGAGTTCTGTTAATCCCACAAACAAACATTACATTTTTATTTATATAGACAGATAAAGAGGTCCTCAATGTATGTATGTATGTGTGTGTGAGTATGTGTGTGTGTACACACATACATTGAGGACCTCTTCTCTTCTCTCAGGAGGGTCAGATCTACTGCGGTTTGGTGACCTGCCCAGAGCTGCCGTGTGCCTCACCACAGACCCTCCCAGACTCCTGCTGTCAAGCGTGCAGAGGTAAGACGGGAAGGAAGATGCTTCCACAACCTCCATCGCCATCCCCAGGAACATTGTAATAGACAGAGAATACAAAAAAGTTATCGTCTACAACAGGAAATTAGGAAGCCCAAAGACCCTTGGTGTATATCTAGCCCAGTATTGACAGGTTGCCTTAAGTCAAAAACAATTTGAAGGCACACAACAGGAATGTTAGCTGATGATGCTGATTATTATTATTATTATTATTATTATTATTATTATTATTATCATCATCATCATCATTATTATTTAAAACTTTTATTGGAGGAAAGGATGGTGGTCTACCAGCAGTGCATGTAAACTGTACATTTAATGCAATTTCACGCTACCTTATCTGGCCATAGCTTCATGCTGTGGAAACCTGGAATTTGTAGTTTGGTGAGACCCCAGCATTCTTTGCAGAGTAGACTAAAAGTTTGTAAACCACAACTCCTGTGATTCCATAGTATGGATCCCTTGATGCTTAACTGATGTCAAGTTTCAATAACTCTACAGTTTAGATGTGTTCTGAGATTCCCAAAATTAAGCCCTAGTCCTTTAACTCTCCCTTTTAAAAAAACTTACCCTGTTGCTGCAAAATTCAGTGTCATTTAAGGCAGAGAGGAATATTTTGAATTAATAAGTGTGATGCAGCAATAGACAACACTTTAGACAGAACAACATTTAAGCTTATTAGGAGATTGTCTAAATCTATATACTTTTTTCTCCTACAGATACACCCCGCGAGAGGTTGATAGAAGAGCCCACATTCAGAGGTGTTGTACGTGATATTTCGATATTCAAAGCCAGTATTCTTTTTTAAAATCATCTATTTTGAAGAAAAAACTATATTGGATCACCAGCACTTGTCCTGAGCAGATATTATTATTATTATTATTATTATTATTATTATTATTATTATTACTTGAACTGACTTATTTATTTATTTATTTATTTACAGTATTTATATTCTGCCCTTCTCACCCCGCAGGGGACTCACACAATGCACATATAAGTGGAAAACATTCAATGCCGTAGACACACCACATATATAGACAGACACACAGAGGCTCTTTTAACTTTACAGCTCCATGAGGGTATGCTTCAAATTCTGGCCACTGGGGAAGCTTTCACTTCACCGTCCTCTTATGACACCAATGGAGTATTTCCTCATTCTTTTGCAGGTTGCTGGAGAGTTTTACGGCATCATAAAGTAGTTAAATTAGCCTCCCTGAATAAGCAATACTTAAATTTCCTACTTGACAGGTGCAACTGTCTTTCGGGCTGCAAAGGTTGACAGCAAGCAAGGCAAATGGTCAGGAGCTTACTCTGACCAGGGCTGGCTTCAAACTCATGACCTTTTGGTCAGTAGTGATTTTAATGCCGCTGCCTCCCAACCAGCTGCACCACAACCCAGTCCTTATATTTATATGAGTCTACACCAGGCATGGGCAAACTTTTGCCCTCCCTCCAGGTATTTTGGACTTCAACTCCCACAGTTCCTAACAGCTACTGGCTGTTAGGAATTGTGAGAATTGAAGTCCAAAACACCTGGAGGGAGGGCCAATGTTTGTCCATGTCTAGATACTTTCCAAGCAGATCTTTTTGACTCATTTGTTTCAACTGAATTTAAATGCTTCACCGGGATGCTTTGTCTAAATGGTCCTTGCTCTTTGCTTCTCCAGATGCATTCGCGGCACCAGTGCACAACCGGCGCCAGGAGGAAAGGGTCCCTCGACCTGGTGGATCCCCCGACAGGTGCTTCACTGGAATTGGTCCCCAGGAATATCCGGACAACCAAAGGGAGAAGCGGCACCACTGTTAGAATCATCCTGAAAGAGGAGCACAAGAAGGGTAATAATGCATATACCAAGGGTGCATCTGCATTGTAGAATTAATGCAGTTTGACCCCACTTTAACTGCCATGGCTTGATGCTTATGGAATGGTGGGAGTTGTAGTGTCACAAGACCTTGAGCCTTCTCTATCAAAGAGTGCTAGTGCCACACTGTAAGGCAGTGATTCTCAACCTGTGGGTCCCCAGATGTTTTGGCCTTCAACTCCCAGAAATCCTAACAGTTGGTAAAGTGGCAGGGATTTCTGGGAGTTGTAGGCCAAAACACCTGAGGACCCACAGGTTGAGAACCACTGCTGTAAGGGATCACGGGTTTAGGGTGTGGGGTCCCTTTTCGAAGAAATCCACAGAGTCCAATAGGTTCAGGTAAGACACCGTTTATTCAAGCTGATCAGCACGAGGCAAACAGACAGCACTTTTGTAAGTGCTTCCACAGACTGCCGTGCCCCTCCTCGGCTTTTTGCAAACCTTTATACCATCATGTAAACAAGAATATTTTGTCATGGAAAGTACTTTGACCTTTACTCTTCCTGTCCCATCAAGCTCTTGATGGAAAGTACCTTCTCACACCTGCGGACTTTGCGCTTAACCACAAACCAACTTTCTATGTAAGTTTGCTAATATAGCAACTTTTCAAAGAACCAAAACTTTGAACTTTGTATGACCTCTACATGTCACCTCTTGTTTTTAAAACTTTTTCCTTCGTGCTGTTGCTGTTCCTTTTCTACAGGGAGGGGTATATTTCTCCTTTGTTGCTAAAGGCTTTAGCTATTGCTAATTTCACTCAAAGACCCTTTCAACACCAGACTACAACTCCCAGGATTCAACACCATCAAGTCAATTCTGACTTACCACAACAATGCAAAGCAATCTTGTCATGGGGTTTTCTTGGGGAGGTTTCTTACAGAGGAGGTTTCAGTTATCTTCTTTGGGGCTGAGAGAGTGTGACTTGCCCAAGGTCTCCCAATGCATTTCTATGACAGAGCAGGGATTCCAATCCTGGTTTCTTGTTGCCCTGGTGCAGCACTGAAACCAATGCACCATAATTGCTCTCAGAAACAAATGTTTGTCCACACTTATTATTTTGAATCCAAGTTCTGGTTCTGATTTGTAAAATCCGCAGATAAAACAAGTGGCATATTTCAAAATATGATTGTTTTTCCCAATATGTTTTGACTGGTTATATGCCTTTCTTAAGGCCTTCTTCAGCATCTACAGTACGCATTTCATATGCATGGATTCTGAATCCATAGGCTTGGAAAAAATATATTTTTAAAAATCCAAAATATTCTAGGATCCCTCAGAATATCAAAATGGGTGGATATTCAAGTACGATTATATACAACTAGCTGTACACACCACACGTTGCTGTGGCCAACCTTCCCTCTCTCTTTCTCTCCTTCCTTCCTTTCTTTTTTTCTTTCTGTCTTTCTCTCCTTCCTTCCTTCCCTCTTTCCTTCCTTCCTTCCCTCTTTTTCTTTCCCTTCTTCTTTCTTCCATCTCTACCTTTTTCTTTTCTCACTTCCTTTGCTCTTTGGTTCCATCCTTCCTTGTCTTTTTCCTTCCTTCCCTCCCTCCCTCTTTCTCTTTTTCGTTCCTTCACTCCTTCCTTCCCTCTTTCACTTTTTATTTCCTCCTCTCCTTTCTTTCCTACCTTTCTTTCTTTCCTTCCCTCCTTCTTTCCATTTCTCTCTCCCTTCTTCTTCCTTCCTCTCTCCTTCTTCTTCCTTCTTCTCCCTTCCCTTCCTTCCCTCCCTCTTTCCTTCCTTCCCTTCTTCTTTCTTCCTTCTCTACCTGTTTCTTTTCTTGCTTCCTTTGCTCTTTGGTTCCATCCTTCCTTGTCTCTTTCCTTCCTTCCTTCCCTCTTTCTCTCTTTTGTTCCTCTTCCTTCCCTCTTTCACTTTTTATTTCCTCCTCTCCTTTCTTTCTTTCCTTCTCTCCTTCCCTCCTTCTTTCCCTCTTTCTCTCTCTCCTTCTCTCCTTTCTTCCTTCCTTCCTTCCTTCCTTCCTTCCTTCCTTCCTCCTTCCTTCCTTCCTCTTTCTGTGTATGTTTTGTGTGTGCATATATGTGTGTATATGTTTCTGTATATATTTGTGTATATTTGTATATATGTGTGTTTGTGTACATATGTGGTTTTGTGCATGCGTTGTAATGTATTTTTGGGTTTTTTTTTTACTTTTTAAGGCTCTTCTGCTGTATTTATGGTCACTTGTTGGCCTGATAGGTGCATTGCGTCCAAATTTGGTGTCAATTCGTTCAGTGGTTTTTGAGTTATGTTAATCCCACAAACGAACATTACTTTTTTATTTATATAGATGACACCATAAAATTGACATCCTTTGTTTGCTATATTAACCTGGGAATCCCATTTCTCTCTCTCGCTCTCTTTCCAGCATGTGTTTACAACGGGAAGACCTACTCTCACGGGGAGGTGTGGCACCCCACGGTCCGCTACGTGGTGCGCCTGCCGTGCATCTTGTGTACCTGCCAGGACGGGAGCCAAGACTGCCAGAAGGTTGTTTGCCCCAAAAAATACCCCTGCGAAGAACCTGAAACCGTAGACGGAAAATGCTGCAAAGTCTGTCCAGGTAACGAAATGAAAAAGGCAGAGATCATGTCTTCCTTGGGTTCTTCCAGGCCAGTTATAAACGAATACAGCTTGACTGTCCTCCTTATCCAGAAATTGAATTCCAAAATACAGTTTATTTGGCATGAGCAAACTTTGGCCCTCCAGGTCTTTTGGACTTCAACTCCCACAATTCCTAACAGCCGGTAGGCTGTTAGGAATTGTGGGAGTTGAAGTCCAAAATACCTGGAGGGAGGCTAAAATTTGCCTATGCCTAGAACTAATACTATGCTCTATGCTGGCATTGTTGTGATTTTGCTCACACCTCTGTAAACCAGGAGTGAATCTGGACTGACAAACCTTTGGGCCAACTTCTCCTGCATGAGACATGAATCATGGCCAACTGGCTGTGTTGCCTCTGAAATAGTGTATTTATAGTGTTGCTCTCCTGAGATAGATTCAAGCAAGGGTGGTATCCAGGAATGTTGACCAAGTACAGCAAACTCAGGCCCAAAAGCTGATTTGTAATTACTCTGCAATCAAACCACTACCCAAAGGAGAGGAGTGCGGCTGCAAACAGCCCATGGCCAGCCAGAGTCTTCCTCGACTCTTGGCAAGGAGAAGGTAAACAAGCCAGCCTGAAGCCAGGGATAGACTCTCCGCTGCAGGATGGATGCAGTTGTAGTTTGGCAAGTTCTATGAGGAGGGGCTTAAAGACTGGGCATGTTTAGCCTGAAGAAGAGAAGGCTAAGAGGAGACATGATAGCTATGTATAAATATGTGAGAGGAAGTCATAGGGAGGAGGGAGCAAGCTTGTTTTCTGCTGCCCTGGAGACTAGGACGCAATGGCTTCAAACTACAGGAAAGGAGATTCCACCTGAACATTAGGAAGAATTTCCTAACTGTGAGAGCTGTTCAGCAGTGGAACTCTCTGCCCTGGAGTGTGGTGGAGGCTGCTTCTTTGGAGGCTTTTAAGCAGAGGCTGGATGGCCATCTATTGGGGGTGCTTTGAATGCAACTTTCCTGCTTCTTGGCAGAATGGGGTTGGACTGGATGGCCCAGGAGGTCTCTTCCAACTCTAGGATTCTATGATTCTAGGTTCACTTAACCTCATGCCGGATGTGTAAATGAACTAAACATTTCTGGGCCCAGCCACGAGACCTGGATTAGGCAGTCATTTATGTATATGTGTATATATGTGTGTTTGCGTATATATATATGTGTGGTTTTGCGCATGCGTTGTAATGTATTTTTTGTTTTTTGGCTTTTCAAGTCTGTTTTTCACTGTTTTTATGAGTGACAGTCGCTCTTTGGCCTGATAGGTGTATTGTGTCCAAATTTGGTGTCAATTCGTCCAATGGCTTTTGAGTTATGTTAATCCCACAAATGAACATTACATTTTATATCGCCCGAGTGTTGCACTCCAGAACAGGAAACAGCCCCTCTGACTATAAACACACCATACGTTGAGTGAAGGAACAATCCTTTTTTATTAAAACTTAGCAAAAAGCCAGTAGAAATAAATGCTTGTAAAGATAGATAAGATTCCAAAAAGTAGTAAGGCATTCAAAGGCAGCAAGATAAAACAGTATCCAAATGTAGCAATCAAAAGCAATGTCCAAAAACCATGAAAATATAATCCAAGGCAATGATTATCTAGACAGGAATCAAACAAGAAGCAAGAACCGACCAGAAGCTGCTAGTCAACTTGAAAGGCTAGAAAAATCCATGAAGACAAGACCACTTGAACAGGAATTCCATGAGGCTTGTCCTTGGTTTCCAAACGATTCCTGATCTGACAAGATTTTCTAAAGGCAAATCTTAAATCCCAAAAACTGGATTTGTTTTCCTCCAGTCTTTGACCTTAACTGATTAATTCTTTCGGATCTATGTAAACATTGGGCCTCTTGTCGATTCTGGCTAATCTCCAGCCGCCGACTCTGCTTATCTGACTCCTCATTAACTTTACCAGATGTCAGACTGTTTTCCAAACTAGAATCTGGAGAGCTCACAGGTGGAGGGAGTAAACCTGATAGAAACATTCTCATGAGAATCTGCCCTTTGCACCGAAGCCTCTCTGTCAGTGTCTACATGAAACTCATTGACCAAAGTGTCTCCATCTTGCGCCTCAGAGTCAGCCCCAGCATCCCCCACATCAGAAGCAACAGAGGACTAATTTCCCTCCTCATTACCCACATCAGACACAGAAACATCAGGAGACTGAAACACATTCACAGGTTCAGGTTCAATCACAGAGTCCCAACACCATGCTATTACTTCATCCCTGGGTTTTCTCTTCCCGCAGAGGACAAACAGGTCCCCACGGCTGAAACCAGTCCCGCCAAGTGCAGGGTCTCTCTCTACATGTTTGTGCCCAGCTCCGAAAACCCCAACGAGAACCTGAGGAAGATCGCCGTCGAGAGGGAGTCCTCAGAAGACGTGGAAATCTACATCTGGAAATTTGTGAAAGGTGAGCCTTTTTGCCAGGTAGATAAAACACCAGAGATGCCGCTTCTTCCCAGAGAGAGCTGCAGATGGGAGAGGAAGTGGGGCATCTACACCGTAGAAAGATCTGTTACAGTAAGTCGTAGCAGGATCAAGTGTGCGTTAAAGAAAAACCTTATGATGTTAATTATTCTGTGCAGCTGGAAATGTAGGTCAGCTAGCATGTTTGGGCTATCCCCGGTGGGTATAACTATATAGAATTTTAGAATACAGTTTGGAGAAACAATATGCTGTAATGCTGCTATGCTGAACAGCGATGCTCTTTGCTATGGTGGTATAGCTATTTACTCAAGGTTTCTGTTTTACTCTCTCATTTGAATGAAGATGAAGAAGCCTTATTCTGTGTTACAGCTGGAAATGTAGGTCAGTTAGCATGTTTGGGCCACACCCGGTGGGTATAACTGTATGGATTTTAGAATACAGTTTGGAGAAGCAATATTCTGTAATGCTGCTATGCTCAACAGTGATGCTCTTTGCTATGGTGGAATAGCAATTTACTCAAGGTTTATGTTTTGCTCTCTCATTTGAATGAAGATGAGAAGTCTTATTCTGTGTTACAGCTGGTAATGTAGGTCAGCCAGCATGTTTGGGCCACTCACGGTGGGTAAAACTGTATGGATTTTAGAATACAGTTTGGAGAAGCAATATGCTGTAATGCTGCTATGCTCAACAGCGATGCTCTTTGCTATAGTGGAATAGCTATTTACTCAAGGTTTATGTTTTGCTCTCTCATTTGAATGAAGATGAAGAAGCCTTATTCTGTGTTACAGCTGGAAGTGTAGGTCAGCTAGCATGTTTGGGCCACATCCGGTGGGTATAACTGTATGGATTTTGGAATACAGTTTGGAGAAGCAATATGCTGTAATGCTGCTATGCTCATCAGTGATGCTTTTTGTTGTGGTGGAATAGCTATTTACACAAGGTTTATGTTTTGCTCTCTCATTTGAATGAAGATGAAGAAGCCTTATTCCGTGTTACTTACAAGGATTATGTAAGTTTGTTGCACTGTTAGATTTTGTATGCAACACTTCGAGTTTATGTCTCTCCTGATAAGAGTAAAAATTTTCTGTTCCTTTTTTCCTCTTGCCTGTGTGTCTTTTGATTGGAACTTGGCTAAAATCCGCTTCTGCGCAACAAGAATCCTGTGTGACACCACTTTTTAACTGCCTTGGGTGGTGGAAGTTGATTATAAAGTCAGGCTACCTAGAGCAGGCAAGAGGCAAACTTGGGCCCTCCAGGTGTTTTGGACTTCAACTCCCACAATTCCTGACACCCAGTAGGCTGTTAGGAATTGTGGGAGTTGAAGTCCAAAACACCTAGAGGGCCCAAGTTTGCCTCTTGCATGTTTTAGAGAAACTAGAGATTCCTAGAAATGTTTTCTCTCAGAATTAAATGGAGTTCCTATGTCTCTATCTCAGCAAACGTGGAAGGCGGACTGTATATCCGTTGGGTTTGTTCTGCTGAGCCATCCTTCTCCTCTGTCAGACCTGAGCCAAGGCAGGCTCTTGCATGCGTCGAGTTGGCAGCCGAAGACCCGTGCTGCATCCAAGATTCATCGCTCCTCCTTTTTGCTCGGCAGTCCGGAGTTGTCTTTCCAAGATTTCTTGCTCAAGGAGCTGGGAGAGCCACCAGGAAGAAAATATCATAAATCTCTCTCTTTTTGCTGCTGCCTTCTAGATAAATAGGGCAGGTCACCTAGTTCCTTGCCACATCTCCTGAATATGGGAGAGGGACTCCTAGAGTTGGAAGAGGCCTCGTGGGCCATCCAGTCCAACCCCATTCTGCCAACCACCCCTGACAGATAGCCATCCAAAGCCCCCAAAGAAGGAGCCTCCATCACACTGGCTCAATGCTTATGGAAGCATGGGAAGCACGGTTTTACAAGATCTTTAGAACTTCCCTGACAAAGAAGGTTGGTGCCTCACCAAACTACAGCTCCCAGGACTCCATAGCATTGTGCTGTGGCAGTTTGTAGGAGCTCAGCCTACTGGGGTTGTTGCAGTGCCTCAAGACAAGGATTAGGGTTATGTTCAATCTCCTTCAGAGCAGGACCCTTCAGAGATTTCCATGTTGGATTTTAATGTAGATTGTCAGGGGATTGTGAGTGAAGAAGAGGGCACAGAACAAACTTCAGAGCAAAGGGAGTTGGAAGACTCTGGGATTGTTAGTTCTCATGATAGAATGGTTTCCAGACAGTCTGATGGGAACCAGCTTGGGTTGCTAGAAAAGGAAGTGAAAGGAAGTGTTAACAAGCAACCAGGAGGTATCAACCTTTGATAGAAGGGGTCAAATCTGTCAAGATCGCCACCTGCAAGGGGGAGTCAGGAGGTCTGTCAGGATAAGGAAAAAGAGGAATTTGAAGGATAGTTCTCAAGGGAATCGGAATGCATTTTGTGTAGGTCTTTTTGAATAAATATAGGGCTTTCACAGCTTGGCCTTCAGTGAGCGCAACGTCAGTTGCTGGTCAAGTCTTGTATGTATGTCATGTCAAGACTCATGTTCAAGTTGTTGTTGGTGAATGTTTCCCTGTGTAATTCTTCTGTGGATTTTGGGATCTGTGCAACCTTGTTTCCTGGCTTTCAAGAGACTTTGGATATTTTCCTCTGTGGGTTTGAAGGACTATGCATTCGTGGATTTTGCTGTGGAAGTCAACTCCGTTCTCTTTTATGGATTATATTTGTCTACCTCCTGGTTTGGATTGTTTTTACACTTCCTTTCATAATATTTTACTTGCCTTTTTCACCTTTTTAAATTCTGCTTGCATTTATTCAATAACCTGTTTATTTGCTAAAGAACGTTGGAGTGTTTGTGGGTTCAAAGGTGTGCTTCCAGCCTTGGTGTGCGACACAGTTGAATTAGTGTGAAACTACATTAAGGGGACTGGGCTGTGGAACAGCTAGTTAGTAGCCAGCTGCATTAAGTCACTGCTGATTGAAAGATCATGAGTTTGAAGCCAGCCCAGGTCTGAGTGAGATCCCGACCATTAATAGTCTAGCTTGCTGTCGACCTATGCAGCCCGAAAGACAGTTGCATCTGTCAAGCAGGAAATTTAGGTACCGCTTTATGCGGGGAGGCCAAATTAACTAATTTACAATGCCATAAAACCTTCCAGCAGCGTGCATAAGAATGAGGAAGTACTCCATCAAGGATTCAGTGTCACAAGTGGATGGTGAAGCGGCAGCTCCCCCGGTGGCCAGAATCGAGCGTATCCTCATGAAGCCGGAAATCTGGAATATTAAATTGCCTCTGTGTTTGTCTATATATGTTGTATGCCTAATTGGCATTGAATGTTCGCCATATATATGTGCATTGTAATCTGCCCTGAGTCCCCTGCAGGGTGAGAAGGGCCGAATATAAATACTGTAAATAAATAAATAAATAATTCTGCAGTGTAGATGCACCAGGAGATTTCATTAATGTTATATTGCTGGGCAATAAAGCTTAACGGATTGCAGCCATAAAGTAATCCGCTTTATTTACAGTTATTTACAGAGAACATCGCAGCCCAGAACAAGCATGTCTGCTCCGGTAAAAAACATCAAGCAAGAATGGCGATTCTCAGCCTTCTTCTTCACAGAAATAGACACACCTCCCAAATTCCATTCAGACATTCGGTCTCACACAGAGGAAGTAGGAAGTCATTACACATTTACCGTCTAGGAAATATACAAACCTTTGCGGTCTGTTAATTCTATACATGCTAGACAGTTTTACACATACCTGGTCACAGCTTTAAAAACACACACTTTGAAATCTACTCATAAATCAAACGCAGTAATAACTGTTAACACCATAATGATTTGGAATCTCTTCATTCGCTTAAGCATGAATATTTATATGACACGCAGTAATTTCTCTCTTTTTTAAAGGCATATTCCATTTGATGCAGATCAAGAAGGTCAAGAAGCAGGAGTTCAAGCAAGAAGTCCAGAATTTCCGGCTAGTTTCCAGGACGAATGAAGGTATCAGTGATCTGACTGGAACTTTTGAAATAATTGTCGCCAGAGGTGCATCTACACTGTTGAAATAATATAGTTTAGCACCACTTGAGCTGTCATGAGTCAATACTATGGGAATCTGAGAGTTGTAGTTTCGTGAGGCCCCAGCACTTCCCCTTGACAGAGAAGGCTGAAGACCTTGTTAAACTACAACTCCCAGGAACCCATGTCAGCTGAAATGGTGTCAAACTGCATTCATTCTACAGTGTAGAGCAAGCATGGGTTAACTTGGGCCTCCAGGTGTTTTGGACTTCAACTCCCACAATTCCTAACAGCCTACCGGCTGTTAGGAATTGTGGGAGTTGAAGTCCAAAACACCTGGAGGGCCCAAGTTGGCCCATGCCTGGTTTAGACATACTCCAGGTTTCTTCATCATGGTCACTGTTAAATTGCACGTTTAGTATTTCCTGTGCCGGCACAGTTGTATTGGGTTTGCAAAGCCAATATAAAGAAACCAAATGTTTAAAATGTAATAAAATGCCAAAACAAGATGCTTGAGACACTTGGCCTGCTTAGCTGCTGAAATCCTCCCCTTCACTTTCTGGAACAGTCGTAAAAAAAACCCCAGTTATCAAGATAGGCAGGAGGCCACTTGTAAAAAGATCATGTTCAGAAAGCCCATCTTTCCACATTAGGAACGAGGTTGGGCTCTGCATTTTGAAATCCTAAATTATTCTGGGAAACAGAAAAGTAGTGCATTGATTCAGCCCAGAATTGCAGTGGCATCACATTATATAGACTCAGGTTTAGCTTGTGGTCTGCTAAGCTATTTAGGAGCCTTTATAGCATTCAATCATTCAAGAGATGCAAGTAGGGTAGGAATAAATATAATAAAAATATTAATGATCCTGGGGAAAGGAGAGTGAGTCAGAATGGTAGGGGTTGTATCCCTCCCAATATTAAAACAATCGTTACTGTCCTATTCCTGGAAGTGTGTCAATCTTGTTACCAGAAATCACAAGCGACAGATTGATTTTCCTTTTGGAAGAAAAACAGAAGGGCCAGCAGGGTTTGTTTAATACCTCTCAAGGGTGAGTTATAGTCTTGCCCGTGTTTGAATATTAATCTATAAAAGAGACAGCTTTGCTTTTTTAATGTATAGGGACAGCAGGGGATCCATGTAGGCCTCCAGATATTGTTGGAGTACACTTTCCAGCAGCCCTACCCAATGTAGACTTTGTTCGGTATTTGGGGAGATGTAGTGTGTCACGATGCCAGGGCTCTGCCAATATTTAGGCAGAGATGAACCAAACTCCCAGTTTCTTTCTGGCTGTTTTAATAGTCCAAAACATAAAACATAAAGATTGCACTCAGCCACAGAATATAAAACAAAAACAGCAAACATTGTTGCAGGTTCAAGATAACGCCGTAGTCAAAAGATCCAGTCTAGTGGTCAAACGCCGAGAGTACAATAAACAAAGTCCAGGGATCAAGGGTCTATACCAGGGGTCCTCAAACTAAGGCCCAGGGGCTGAATACGACCCTCCAAGGTCATTTACCCAGCCCTCGCTCAGGGTCAACCATATCTGAAACGACTTGAAGTCACACAACAACAACAACAAAATACGAATAAGTTTATATTTGTTAAAATTGTTCTTCATTTTAATTATTGTGTTGTTTTTAAGTGTTTTTTGCACTACAAATAAGATATGTGCAGTGTGCATAGGAATTCATTCGTGTTTTTTTCAAATTATAATCCAGCCCTCCAATAGTTTGAGGGACTGTGACCTGGCCCTCTGTTTAAAAAGTTTGAGGACCCCTGGTCTATACCGTAGTCCAAAGCCAGTCCAAAGATTCAAGGTTCCAGGATTCCAAAGGTTCAGAAGACAGGTCAGGACACCGAAAATCCACAAACCTGGGGGGAAACCAGCAGCATATACCACCAAGATAAAACAAATACTTTTTTCCCAAAGATCAGTCCCAAGGCTAGCTCATTTTTCCAGAAACACCCACTGCAACATATCTCTTGCATACCTCCACCCTTAATTACTTTCACCCATGAGCTCTTACTTACAGATTACTCAACCCTTTAGAATTAAGACTTACATTAACCCTTCCATCACCAACTGCTGGGCTGCCACCACCAATAACCCCCAACTACAGAACATGATACATGACATAGTCCAACAACAGAGATGAGTCGCGTGGCCCACGGGCTGCTGATATTATTATGGATGTAATAATAATAATAATAATACTGTATACAGTGTTCCCTCGCCACTTCGTGGCTCACTTTATGTGGATTCACTTTTTCAAAAAAATAATGTATTTCAAATACGCCAATAAATGTAGTAGTAACAACATATTATTACATGTATTATTTCACTCTATTATTATTATTATTACATTTATTATTTTACTCAGTTAGTACTGTTATTATTACATTTCCATTATTTTACTCTATTATTATTATTACATTTATTATTTTACTCTCTTTATTATTCTTGGAAGGATATGCAAGCACATTTACATTGAAGAAGGTTAGAATAATCAAGTTTAATCAAGTTGGGGAGTCTTATCTTAAATTACAGTTTTATGTAAATATTCAAAAACATTGAACCTACTGATGCCTCAATTAATGGAATTTTATTGGTATCTATTTTTATTTACCAGGAGTTGCTGCATTTCCCACCCTTGGCTTATACTGAGTCAATAAGTTTTCCTAATTCTATCATTGGTGGGGTTCAGAATGCTCTTTGATTGTAGGTGAACTATAAATCCCAGCAACTATAAGTCCCAAATGTCAAAGCCTATTTCCCCCAAACTCCATTCGTGTTCATATTTGGGAATATGGCATATTTGTGCCAATTTTGGTCTAGATCCTTCATTGTTTGAGTCCGCAGTGCTCTCTGGATGTAGGTGAACTACAACTCCAAAACTCAAGGTCAATGCCCACCAAACCCTTCTAGTGTTTTCTGTTGGTCATGGGAGTCTTATAGAATGATAGAATCAAAGAGTTGGAAGAGACCTCCTGGGCCACCCAGTCCAACCCCATTCTGCCAAGAAGCAGGAATATTGCATTCAAATCACCCCTGACAGATGGCCATCCAGCCCCTGTTTAAAAGCTTCCAAAGAAGGAGCCTCCACCACACTCCGGGGCAGAGAGTTCCACTGCTGAACGGCTCTCACAGTCAGGAAGTTCTTCCTCATGTTCAGATGGAATCTCCTCTCTTGTAGTTTGAAGCCATTGTTCCGCATCCTAGTCTCCAAGAAGCAGAAAACAAGCTTGCTCCCTCCTCCTTGTGGCTTCCTCTCACATATTTATACATGGCTCTCATGTCTCCTCTCAGCCTTCTCTTCTTCAGGCTAAACATGCCCAGCTCCTTAAGCCGCTCCTCATAGGGCTTGTTCTCCAGACCCTTGATCATTTTAGTCGCCCTCCTCTGGACACATTCCAGCTTGTCAATATCGTCAATTATGTGCCAAGTTTGGTTCAATTCCATTGTTGGTGGAGTTCAGAATGCTCTTCGATTGTAGGTGAACTATAAATCCCAGCAACTACAACTCACAAATGATTTTTTGAGTGATGGTCACTCCTTGGGTTAATAGGTGTCTTGTGGCCAAATTTGGTGGCAATTAGTCCAGCGGTTTTTGAGTTATGCTGTCACTCAAAACAAACAGAGTATTTATTTATAGATAGGTAGGTAGGTAGGTAGGTAGGTAGATAGATAGATAGATTTGTTTCATTGGAACCCAAGTGATGAGTTCTTCTTCTTCCGTCTTCTTTTAGCGTATTGGAACATGTTCCTGCTCCAAGTGCCAGAAGTCCAGATGACCGCCAGTCCGGACAAAGAAACAAACAACTTGTAAAAAAGGGGGGAGAGGGAAAAAAAGTATATTGATATTAATATATACGAGGAAAGTTGCATTACCAAACTATCACAGCAGTTACAGGAAAGACGATGGACAGCTCCTTCTGTAATGGACAACATGAGGAAAACTACTGATTCTGATTGAATATGGCAATATGGCCACTTGAATTCATAGGACACCGCTCAAATCCACACGAAAACAATAGGAATGGCTGCCGAAATCTCCAAGACAACAACATGGCTGCTCCCCTTCCCCTTGCTTTTCCCCTGCCTCCCCAAATGCTGCAAGAGTGAACAGACTGGACTTTGATCTCCCTTCAGTGAAAGGGAAGAAGAAGGGAGATGGAGAGCAGTGCTATCCCTTGGTAGGGTGACGGTCCAAAAGACTGCAAGTAGGTCTTGATCCCATTGATACGTCAACTTCTCTGGGATTATGGAGGGAGCAAACTGAAACGGAAGGAGAGTTTGTAGAGTAGGAAATGCATCACTGAGTGGACTGAGCTCCTTCCAGATGCATTGGACCACAACTCCCATAATCCCCAGACGGCAATTGAGTGTGGGATTGTGGTCCAAGGCATCTGGAGGAGAAGTTCCCAAACTATGTTCCATGGAACATCAGGGTTCCATAAAAGCACCGTAGAATCATAGAATCCTAGAGTTGGAAAAGACCTCATGGGCCATCCAGTCCAACCCCATTTTGGAGACAGGAAAATGGCATTCAAAGCACCCCCGACAGATGGCCATCCAGCCTCTGTTTAAAAGTTAACAGTGAAACTAAACCAGTTTCATAGGATGCCAGAGATTGAAAAAGTTTCTTTTTTTGGACCACAAAAAGGAACTATTCCAAGCCCCAACCTTATTTATTTATTATTTACAGTATTTCTATTCATAGAATCATAAAATCATAGAATCACAGAGTTGGAAGAGAACCTGTGGGTCATCCAGTCCAACCCCATTCTGCCAAGAAGTAGGAAAGTTGCATTCAAAGCACCCCCGACAGATGGCCATCCAGCCTCTGTTTAAAAGTCTCCAAGGAAGGAGCTTCCATCACACTCCAGGGCAGAGAGTTCCACTGCTGAACGGCCCTCACAGTCAGGAAGTTTTTCCTCATGTTCAGGTGGAATCTCCTTTCCTGTCCTAGTCTCCAGGGCAGCAGAAAACAAGCTTGCTCCCTCCTCCCTACGACTTCCCCTCACATCTTGATACCTGGCCCTCATCATGTCTCCTCTCAGCCTTCTCTTCTTCAGGCTAAACATGCCCAGCTCTTTAAGCCGCTCCTCATAGGGCTTGTTCTCCAGACTCTTGATCATTTCAGTCGCCCTCCTCAGAATGATTCTGCAAAAAATCATAACAAAATATCCAGAATGTATTGGAGCATTTGGTGGAGTCCACCTCCTTGGAGGTTTTAAAACTGAGGCTGGATGGCCATCTGTCAGGAAGGCTTGGATTGTGTTTTCTTCCATGGCCAAATGGGGTTGGACTGGATGGTTCTTCCAAATCTAGAGTTTCATGGCCCATTATGGTGAAGCCATCACGGTATCAACAATGTTGGAGTTTGATCTCAGAATCTGAAGACTGGGTAGAATTTGAAGTTGGGGTGTTTTGATGTTACAAACAGCGCTTTCCAAAAAATAATGATTGTCCATTGTGTCCCAAACTGGGAACTGGAGGGTAGAACTAATCCTAGCAAGAGCAACTTTTCCCACTCTAGTGCATTTCTATAGCACCTTCCCTCTCTCATAAGTTCAGCACTGTGGATAGCTCCTGGTATAGTACAATGTAAGACCCGGAGTGTATTTACAATCCCACTGACATGGAATCCAGCAGCTAGCCTAGGTATGGGCAACCTTTGACCCTCCAGGTGTTTTGGACTTCAACTCCCACCATTCCTAACAGCCTCAGGCCCTTTCCTTTTCACCCTCAGCCGCTTAAGCGAAGGGGAAGGGGCCTGAGGCTGTTAGGAATGGTGGGAGTTGAAGTCCAAAACACTTGGAGGGCTGAAGTTTGCCCATGCCTGGTCTAGCCTCAAACTTCTCATCCTTTAGCAGGCGCAGATCTGACTGTACGCTGGGCAAAACAGCTTCCAGGCATGTCTCTTGCAGTAAAGTCTAGTCTGAATCTTCTCGTCCTTCAGCAGATGTGAACAGGATGTACAAGGGATGAATGAAAAGTAATGCCTCCACCTTCGTTACTTGGGTTTGGATGGGAATATTTTAATAAATCAAGCACAGAAATAATCCTTAGAATGTGCTCTTTAACTACCACTATTCACTTTTCCACATAATCACCAGACAATTGGATACATTTCTGCCAACGATGAACAAGTTTTCTGAAGCCGTCACAGAAGATGTCTGTGCACTTTCATTTCAGGCGTCAGCATCCTGGGTACCCATTGGGCACAGATCTTCTGATAGCCAAGCAAAGCAAGAATGTGACCCACACGTTCTTGTGAAATGCCAATTATGCTTGAAATTTCTCTCTGAGTGATACGATTTTTTTTGTCATGTCAGGAGTGACTTGAAAAACTGTAAGTCACTTCTGGTGTGAGAGAATTGGCTGTCTGCAAGGACATTGCCTAGGTGATGCCTAGATGATTTGATGTTTTCTTATCATCCTTGTGGGAGGCTTCTTCTTTGGAAGCTTTTAAACAGGGGCTGGATGGCCATCTGTCAGGGCTGATTTGAATGCAATATTCCTGCTTCTTGGCAGAATGGGGTTGGACTGGATGGCCCAGGAGGTCTCTTCCAACTCTTTGATTCTATGATTCTGATTCTCTCATGTCCCCACATGAGGAGCTGGAGCAGATAGAGGGAGCTCATCCGCCTCTCCCCGGATTTGAACCTGCAACCTGTCGGTCTTCAGTTCTGCCGGCACAGGGGTTTAACCCACTGTGCCACTGGGGGCTCCTGATACGTTGATAATCCTGAATCAATCTGTCAATCTTTTGCTTGTGAAACTCGGTGGTTGCTGTCACAGGACGTCCAACTCTTTGTTTGTCACGCAAGTCAGATGTTCCCACCTCAACATCTTTAAACTTACTCACCTAACAACATGCAGTCCTCACATCAACACAATCACAATAAACAGCTTGCATTCTCTGATGAATCTCCTTTGGGGTGACACCTTCTGCTGTCAAGAATTCAATGTCTGCACGTTGCTTAAGTTGCATTGTGCAGGGTTCCATACTTCGCACTTTTAACAACACAACCATTCAATGCTAAGGCTTCCCGCCAAAATTGAACTGTAGAGGAGAGTCTACTGAACAAGCCAGTACCTGCCGCATACCAGTACTGCCATCTGTTGAGTTACGAAGGTGGAGGCATTACTTTTCTTTCCACCCTCTTATGTTGCATGCCAAAGTTTGCCCAGGCCTGAGCTAACCAATGACATTTCTTATAGCTGGGGTGCTGTTGCAAAAATCACCCAGATTTCCACATTTGTATAAAAAGTGTGGCAGATAGGAATGGCACAAATTGCAGGTTCACAGAACATAGGTTGGGACTAGTGTGGCATCCAGGTGAATCAGGCTTGGGATTTGTTCTATTTTGCTTATTAGGCCTTACAGATTGGCCTGGAAACATCAACAACCCCCATTTAAAACCAAGTATTATCCTAACTCTCTTTTGCCTTTGGTGATGTTTGTACTAGTGTCTCTCCTGTACATGGTTTAGCACATTACGATGCAATGGTTCTACATCTCCCACCATTCCCTACGGTATTATGTTTGCACAAGAGCTGCATTGTTCAGAGAAAGCGCTGACTTTCCATCCTCACAAGGAGATCCTTTGCTCACTGCATCTTCCTTCACGTCCATTGGAAGAACTGCTTTGGGAGATATTCACAGATGTGAATGTTGTGGTGTTGTTTCAAAGATATTTATTTGGAGAGATTTGGATGGATAAATTGGAGTAAATTAGTTTTTAAATCAAAAATGTCTTTGTCTTTATGAAATCCATGGTGTCCCCATGATTGATAGAAGGACAGAAAGGTAGATAGACAGAGAGGAGAAGTATGTAGATATAGAATGGCTGGATGGACAGACAGAGAGATAGACAGACAGACAGATAATAGGCAAATTGATAAAAGGATAGATAGATAGGCAGGCATGATAGATGGATAGATAGGATGGATGGATAGATAGAACTGAAACACTGATGGAACAGTAGAATACTAATCTCATAATAATAATAATAATAATAATAATAATAATAATAATATATTATGTATTGTCAAAGGCTTACCTCTGAGGATGCTTGCCATAGATGCAGGCAAAATGTCAGGAGAAAATGCCTTTAGAACATGGCCATATAGCCCGAAAAAACCTATAACAACGCAATAATATATTATATATTTATATTACATGTAATATTACTTATATTACTAAGAATATTACAATATAATGGTATAGTACAATATAGTAATATATAATACTGATATTGTGCTATGCTAATAATTTAATATATTGTATGGATAATATATTGTATATTGTATGTATATATATGAGGGAAGGATATTAGAGACAAAGATGAAGTCCTTTGGCCACCTCATGAGGAGACAGGAAAGCTTAGAGAAGACAATGATGCTGGGGGGAAAGGAAGGAAAAAGGAAGAGGGTCCAACCAAGGGCAAGATGGATGGATGGCATCCTTGAAGACTGGCTTGACCTTGAAGGAGCTGGGGGTGGTGAAGGCCAACAGGGAGCTCCTGGTAAAATTTGGACACAAGACACCTCTCAGGCTAGAGTGACCATCACTCATAAAAACACTGAAAAAGACAGCAGAAGGGACTTAAAAAGCCAAAAAACCCCAAAATTTACATTACAATGCATGCACAAGACCATATATATATATATATATATACACACACACACACATACATACATACATACATACATACATACAGATGAATAGCTAGATGTATTGTCGAAGGCTTTCATGGCCGGAATCACTCAGTTCTTGTGGGTTTTTTCGGGCTATATGGCCATGTTCTAGAGGCATTTCTCCTGACGTTTCGCCTGCATCTATGGCAAGCTTCCTCAGAGGTCTAGCTAGATGACCAGACAGATAGATAATAGAC